ATTGGACCACGTCTATAGTACTCATTAACATTAGGTTTCAGGCTTTTAGATCAAAAGTAATTGAAACAAAATCTCGTTGTTCATTAGGTTTTTTCTTATCATTTTGTTTTTGAAGATTACAGACCTCTTTTCTTTTCTGATGTTCTCTTTAACTGTCTTCTAAATCCGATTTCTCATTTGGATTAGCCATATCATATTTATTGCAAGCTAGACATTAATCTTTATTAGGAACAAAAAATCTTAAATTATAATATTCTTAATTTATAAAATATTCTTCGATATGTAATTTCGCTAAGACCTTCCAGTTTCTTCTGCTCATAGTCATTTATATTAAGTCGGTACATTTTTCTTATACTTAAATGTTTGTCCAGAAATCTACGCTTTGGATTTGGCGAATATAATACGGCTCATGGTTGGAAAAAACTCAATATGAGCTTTCACGATTTTTCGGGTTTCACTGCTTGTTTTATTTGGTGGTGTATGCTTGTCTCATTTATCCGTATCTGCATAACAGCCTAGAGTATTAGTTTTTTTTTACAACATCTTGTGTTACCGACGCTGATATACAAAGTGTCTTACAAAAAAATTCTTTACAGACCTGTATGTCTTGAACATTCAAAGAAAAGTAACACTTTTTGGAAAATGCACATGATTTTGATAAACTGCGACGAACTGCAACGACTCTCTTTGGCGGCTCCGTTTTAATACGTGCAATAAAAATAATTCTGACCTATATATTCTAACCTCCAATTATCACGACATAGTCTTTGTTGATGAAATAACTGACATATTTGTAAAAGCACTTAGAAAAATTGACTGGTTTGAAGCTTGGACAATTTAATTAGAAAATATATTCAACCTGATTGTGGACGAAATAATAAAAAAAGTTAGAACTATAGTTTATTTTTATGAACGAGAGAGTAATTAGCATAATTTTAACTGGTATCTTCGACCACTCCATGGGCGTGCTCAAGATTAATTGAAAAATTACTTTGAATAATTGTAAAAAATAAATGAATTATTTCAGTGTTATAAAGTGTTATGTGTATGTAAACAAAAGTGACCTCTTTTATTAAACACTATATTAGAACTGACTGGCCTACATTAAAAAGGGTTTTAAAAAAATAACATTTTTTTTTTAATTACAAAAGAGAAAAAGAGTTTGTAAAACCGTCTAAGGTATGTTAAATAAATGAATAAAAATATTAATATAAAACTTACAGCTACTTGTTACAAATTCAAATCAGATTCAGAAGATGAACTTTCAGAACCAAGATTTATAATAACTGGCTCGATCATTTTATCAGTAATATTGTCCAGCTTCCACATTTTTTCCTCTTCTTTAATAGTGTGATTTACTGCCTTTTCCCAGTTTTCAGGTTTTACATTATGTACGGCCTCCAAAAACAACTGTTTAACATCATGAATTTTAAAAGTGGTATTTTTTCTTGAAACTTCACTCTTTATCTGTGCCCATACCAGTTCAATCGGGTTTAATTCACAATGATATGGTGGGGATCTAAGTACTGTCATTCCACGATTTTTGGCAATTTCATCAATTTCGTATTTTTAAAATTTTTCTTTATGAAGGGCACACAACGAATAAAGTTCCTCTCTTATAGATCCGGGATGGTACGTAATATTTTTTGAACTCAGCCAATTCTGCAAGTCTTTTTTTAACCACTTGGTTGTGGGCAATCCTTCTATAAGTCTGGAGTGATAACTTGCATTCCATTACTATTACACAGTTCTTAGGAAGAAGATCTATCATTTGTTCGACCCATTCTTGAAAAACATCAGCGTTCATGTCTTCATGGTAGTCACCGGTACGAGTTGATTCAAAAGTTAATAAACCACCTTCAAAAAAACCGTCTGAACTGCCAATGTGTACTATTGTCAGCCTGCGTCCCTTTCCTGATGGTGGGTTTAAACCAGTAGATAAGTTATTTACAAAAGCGTGCCTTTGACTTGTAACAGTTTCATCCTGCCATAATTTATTTGGTGTATGACCCTCGTTGATCCATGTTTCATCAAGATAAAATATTTTTCTTTTTTGGTTTCTCATTTCCTTTATGGTTCTTAGAAAATGTCTTCTCCATATGACAATATCGCTTCTTTCTAATAAAATAGACTTTCTGGGATTCTTTTTCCAGCGGAAGCCTATTTCTTTTAAAAGTTTCCATAACGTACTTCGACTCATTTCTGGGTAATCCTTATCATCTCGAACTGAGACAAGAACTTTATCCAATGTTGGAAATTCTTGTCTAAAGAAGAATTCATGCTCTTTCCGTCGAAGTCCTTCTTTAAAATGATATTCTATTTGAAATTTTGGTTTCCCTGGAGCATTACGTGGCATTTGAAAACTACCACATTTCTGTTCTTTAATAACTCTGTAAATCGTAGATTTCCCAACACCAAGTGTACTGCTAACTAACTCAACGGTCTCATCAACACTTTCACATAAACGTTTGTCTGTAAATGATTGAAAACAATTAAATATTAATGTTTTGTCATTAACTGTTAAAGGACTAATTTTTCGGCGTTTACACGGCACTTCCAAATTTTCCATAACACTAGTATACACAATAAACTGCACCTTGCAACTGAAGTACCTACTTTTAGTGAACTGTTAAGAATTTTGAATACGCCACTTGGACCTTCCTACAAAATGGAAAAACCCACTATCACATTTTCTGTGGAATAAGTTTAGAAGGTAATTATCTAGTCAATTACTGTCGTAGATTCCTGGAATTAAAGAATTAAATGTTTGATTGTTGAAACCCTTACTTCGTGGAATGCACTCATTTCAGATAAAATATAACGTTTTATTTTATCTAACGAATTAAACTTTATTTTCCAAATAAGTAGGTACTTATTAAACTTTTATTGGTTATATATAACCAATAAAATAAACATTTTACATTTCTTGCAAATTCATTAGTACCTGTTAACCTCCATTACTCCGATACTGGCAACCTTATTTAGGGATTAGTAACCCTTACAAGTATTGTATTCTATTCTGCTCCAACCTTTATACTTGGTGATCATACTCAATTTAAAATTGTTTTCCTATATACTTCTGTAAACTTGTTGACAAATATCTGTTTTTTATTGAATCACCCGTATCAACAGTTTAGGGATTTGCATACATAATTTATTGTTTTATTACTCTCTCATACATAAAAATAAACTATAAAAAAGGATACCAAATGAAAGAAAAGCCACTTAAAATATCCTCTGAAAGGAAAAGCCTCTCTCAAAGGAAAATGATTTACTTTACAACGTATGCTGTACCAATTCAATATAACCGCCACAAAATTTAATATATTAATTTCCCTAAAAAAAAAAACAAAATGCATAGTTATCACACAAAATGTTCTAACATGTAAATTGCAGCTGGAAGGTCAGATAACAAAACAAATGATGAAGTTTAAATATCTAGGCATCACATTATCTAGTTACGAAAAGTTCGAAATATCAATAAGTGGAAGATCAAGTAAATCGAGCAAACAGATCCGCAAGTTGCCTGACTGAAACAGTATGGAAAAATAAAAATATCGGAAAACAAGGAAAAGGCAGAATTTGCAAAACAGTCAACAGTCAACAAACAGCAAACATCAGACAGCAAAACAGTCAACAAACAGTCAATCACACCAATAATTACATATGCGGCAGAAACACACACAGATATGACAAAAAAATGTTAGAAACAGTAGAGATGAAAACACAGATAAACGACGTAGATGTAAGGTGGAGAATATCAAGGATTGGGTAAGAAATAGAAGAGTAGAATAAAACGATCTTATAAGCCAAATGACAACCAATAGAGCAGTAAAAATGACAAAAGACGGTTCCTCGATAGGAACACTCGCAGTAGGAAGATCAGGAAAAAAATCAGATAACGTCAACTTACTGAAGGCATATTGAAAAACAGAATGTATACATAAAGAAAGAAGAAGAAAAATAAGTATTTCTATAAGTATTTTAATAGATGTACTTTAGGTTTTCCTCAAAATTTTATTTCTTTTTTCCATTTTCAGGACTCCTTTTCCTTTTTCAATACATTACTTGATTTTTTATGTTACTCTTTGTTTTTTCGATTTAGGGTTGCTTTTTGATTTGATCTCCAGCGCAAGTAACTTATGTTATTGCCTCACTAACTATATCCTTGCCGTCCATTGGTTATATCTTCTTTTCTTGTCATAATTTAAATTCTTGTTTAATGCTGTCGATAATTTGAGCATATTATCTCTAGCTTTGCTTCATATCCTACCCCTTAACAATTATTAAATAATTGAGTTAGTGCGTTTAATTTCGTTTGATTTCGTTTTTTTTTTTCATTTGTTTTTTAATTATTCTCTCAAAGTTTCACTTTTGTAAGGTTTAAATCGAATAGAATACGAGTGTTTTATTTATAAGCGTTATAAGATAAAAAATTAACACAATCATCAAGTAGTCTTAACGTTATATAGATCATGATATTTAAGGTATTGTAAAAAATAATATGCAATACAGCAATAATTCCTACGGGATAACTGATATCTATATCCATAGCTTTTGAAGAAAACTAAGCAAAATGTTTAGTTTCAATTATTATGTAGTGAAAAAATTTCTTAGAATAATATAGCAATGAACAAACGAACAATTTTAGTAACATAATATAAAACCAAAAATTTCGATTTATATCTTAGGTACAAGAGAAGCTTTGTTCGCCATAAACCTCATTACATAAAGGGGTATCAATGTTAACCTGTCATTTTACATGTTACATAGATAATAATAAAGCATTTATTAAGGTCACACAACATGACCAAATTTAAGTAACCAACAAAGAAAATGAATTTCCTGAAAAAAATTAGATTGAATGAACTACTGTGTGCTATAGACGACGCCGACGTCTTGAAACGAGGTAATAAAACAAAAATGAATCAATAATATAATATTTTCAGATCGCAGAATGATTAAAGAATTTATAAACAAAGTATGATTATGCAACTTACCGGATAAAGGCTTAAATATTACCATATAAAGGTTTCCTAAAAATAAATTAGGTTTGGGACCGGGAAAGTCTCTTAACGATCTCTGTCTGACATATGCTAATGTACAAAAACATAATAATGAAATAAAAGCAAATATCGCAAACGCTAATACAATCATTTTCGACTGGCTTATTACACGAACAAAACCACTTTGATAGATATTGCAGATTTTTAATTATTTATATGTTCAAAGTTAATTATATAGGGTCATCGCCGATAACGAATATAGAATATTATTCTGAGTGCCAATATTTTTTACCTGACGCTTTTGCTAAAAATACGCAGCTTTAACGAATGTAGCAGGTGTTAACCGAATACAAACGTTGGAGGTACAAAAAAAGAGATAAACAATGAATTAAATAATAAATAATTTTATTACAAAACTGATATTGTGGAATAGAAACGTCAGGAGCGAGTTAGAGTACAATGACTTATACCACCATCCAGTAAAATCTACCACGTGGATTCCACACGGGACTACCGCTCGATCATTCTGGACTGAATTGCGACGTATTACGACTGCAAGATCAGTAATTATAAAATTTTACAAACACCATGTAAAAATCAATATTTTTTCGTCTGATTTATAGTTTAGTCTAATTTATAATTTAGTCCGATTTGATTTATTGTTGGTGTTACTAAAATCTTTGTAAGTCGAAAATAAAAGTTGTGAATTAGGAAGAATAAATTTTGAAAGAATTTTTATAAAATCAGACTCCTCTGAGTCCTTAGATTAAACTAGAGCTAGATTAAGAAGATAAATTAAACAAAGATTTGAATGGATTAACAAAAAGATTAAAATAATTTAAAAATATCTCCTCTGAGTCCTTAGATTGTCTTTAGAGTCAGATCCAGAAACTTCAGTATTTAAAGACAAATTTGAATAGCTTAATATACTATATTAATAAACATAGAGATTAATAGGTAGAAAATAAGTAGATTAAGATTGATATATTTATATATTCACTATTGGAAATTACTATACTGATTTTAATAATGACTATATTATATTATATTGAAATTTTTAAAATATTGCAGTGCCCGAATTTGACGTTAAAAATACATTCTTCCAAAGTTTGACGGAAATCCAAATGAATTACATGAATTTATTAAAGTTTCTACAATACTTCTAAACCATTATTATATAGACTTAATGCAGCTAACATACAAAACAAATTTTTGTTTCATGGTATTATCAGTAAATTGACAGGTAGAGCCAAAGAAGTTATATCTGTATATAAATGCGAAAGTTGGGACGAAATAAAAACGCAATAAATCAACATTTTGGAGACCAGAGAGATGAAAATTCGCTTACCAGGGACCTAGTCAATTTAAAACAAGGCTCGACAGAATCTATTATGCATTTTTAAAAAAAAATTATGGATGAAATGAGGTTGAATGCTCGAATAAATGAACTTTGAAAATAAGGCTATTATCGAGCACAAGTTAATGAAATCTAGCCCAAGTACTTTCGCTTAAAATAGCATCTTCAGGGGCATTTCGTCAAAATAAGAACTATCCGGCAAGCGTAGGATGTGGAAACCTTAAAATTAACATAAATTGTACAAAACACTACACTAAAACTCAATTTTAAACTGTTTGTCCTCGTTTTAGTGTAGTGTTTTGTACAATTTATGTTAATTTTAAGGTTTCCACATCCTACGCTTGCCGGATAGTTCTTATTTTGACGAAATGCCCCTGAAGATGCTATTTTAAGCGAAAGTACTTGGGCTAGATTTAATTAACTTGTGCTCGATAATAGCCTTATTTTCAAAGTTTAAAAAATTATGGGACTTTTAAGCTGTATTAATAATTACCTAGAATTACATACCATAAAAGCCGATATTAAAAGGAACAAACAATAATTTTTCCGTCAACAAGCTCTTAAAACATTCTTAGCAGGCCTACGAGAAAAAATGGGCTCTGTTATCAGTTCGATGAGACCAGGAAGTTTAGCCACAGCAATTCAATACGTACAGGAAGAAAATAATGTTCGATACCTTCAAAAAAATCAAAGAAGTCAACCTTCAACATCAGGAAGAAGCGAAAACTATCAAGAACGCCTACCTCAGAGACAACAAATGCCTGTACCTATCCAGAAACCATTGTATCAACAGCCAAATTTTGCGCCTCAGCAATGGTAGCAATCAATAAGACAATTCTATCCGCAAAATCAGTTTTAGCAACCAGATTGACAACAAAACTTCAACCAATTAAGACAAAAGTCAAACCCTCCAACATTCAGGACCCAGAAGCAGTCAAATGTATGGGCACCCAAACTTGGATAGTCAAAGCAGCCTAGACCAATTTCTATGAGTGGAACCACAACCAAATGCCGTCAAAATTTTACACCAAATTACCGAGCTCAGCCAAAATTCACCGTAGAAGAACTTTACAATATACAAAGCCACGGAGATGAGCAAGAAGAGAATTTCAACTACAATGATTACTACGAACCTGAATACGACAATTTTCTACAAGATGCATACGAAAATAAACCAACCGAATACGAAGAAAACGTAAATTTTTGAGAGGACCCACCAGAAGCAATCAGAACGTAATTGAACTTCATTCATTTCCCGACAAGAAGAAATCGAAATTTCTATGCCTTCTTTACGACTTTTAATCGATACAGGATCCACAAAGTCATTTCTTCATCCCGAAAGAGCTTCTTCATATTTTCCAAGTTACATAAACTATGAACCCTTTATATTGTTCTGGAGCTATTTTCTTGTGGCATTGTAAATTAATTACTATTAAACTGGGAATAAGCCACAATTAAAGATAAAAATACGTTTATTGACGTTTCAATTTCCACTTCGGAAATCGTTCTCGATTTCCGAAGTGGAAATTGAAACGTCAATAAACGTATTTTTATCTTTAATTGGGGCTTATTCCCAGTTTAATAGTAATTCATTTATGAACACTTTGTCGTCACATCAATTTTTCAAAATTATTCCCAAAAATATTGTGCCGAAATTTCCTCATTTTCAGAATTCAATTTTGACAGCAAAATGAAATTTTATCTCTTTAAGTTTCACAAAACTTTTGATGTTCTTATTGGCCTCGACAATCTCAAACTCTTCGAAGCCCAATTAAACTTTCCCAAGTCGCTTCTAGTTACAAATTATTCTACAATCCCATTAAATATTACAAAACAAATAAAGCACAATTTTATTCTATTCATTTGGAACCAAATTCTGTTAGCCAAGTCAAAATTCCTGTCAAAGAAGAAACAGGAACCATCATTATTTCAATCGAAAAAGTGCAAGGCGTCATAATACGAGAAGCCCTTACTAACGCCGAGAACCACCTCGCCTGGACCGAAATTACCAACTTCACGTCAGATCCCATTCATCTTTCTCTTACAGAACCACTCGAAAGTAAGAAAATAGACATTCCATATATATTCCATAGATTCCATATTCCAAGATTTCCATATATATTCCATGGAAACAACCACCGGACCAGACCAAAGACAAGATATCAACGACTTAATTAAAACCGAATATTTTATCTAAGAAGAAGAGGAACATATGCCGAAAATTCTCCGATATATTTCACCAATCAGACACTCCTCTCAGCTTTACTAACGAAGTTAAATATCACGTCAGAACCAAGGATGAAGAGCCTGTATATACGAACTCGTACCGGTATCCATATGTACACAAAGAAGAAGTAGAGAAACAAATCTCTTCAATGTTAGAGCAAGGGATAATTCGTCAATTGCCATGGTCTTTGCCCATTGGGTCGTGGCAAAGAAACCAGATTCATCCGGTAAAATAAAGTGGAGGACAGTGGTAGATTATAGAATGGTCAACGGGAAGACAATTGACGACTGATACAGAATTCCTCACATTAGCGATATTTTGGATAAATTGGGAAGATGTCAATATTTTACGAACCTCAACTTAGCGAGCGGATTTCACCAAATCGAGATGGCTGAAAAAGATCAGCATTGAATGTGGAAAATGAACACTACGAATATTTAAGAATGCCATTTGGACTTAAGAACGCTCTGTCCACGTTCAGACGTATGCTGGACAATGTAGTGAAGGGACTTTAAGGAGAAATATGCCTCGTCTATATAATGACGTAATAGTATATTCATCATCACTACAGGAACACATAGTAAATATCCCTGAACCCTAATTATGGCTGCAGATTGGTGTTGAACGAGGAACAAGAACAAAATTTGAAAGAGTATTTGGAAACCTGTAACAAAATAAAGTATGGGCTAACTACCTTAGATGTTCGTAAACTGGCTTGTGAAGTTTCTGTTGTAAATAAACTCAAAATGTCCGAATCATGGAATCCAACAAAAATGGCGGGTGAAGTTTGGCTACAAGGTTTTATACAACGCTGCAAAACTTTAAGCATAAGACAACCAGAGGCTTGTAGCTTATCAAGACTGACTTCTTTTTATAGACACAATGTAGTAATTTTCTTCGAAAAACTCCGTAATATATTGAATAAAAATCCTTCACTTTTGCAAGGATCGAGAACTTTTAATTTAGATGAAACCCGGCTCAACACTCTTCAGAACCCAGAAGAAAAGAGTGTTGCAACAAAGGGTGTGAAGCAAGTAAACTATTGTACGAGTGGTGAAAGAGGTGAGCTGGTTAAAATGTGTGTCACTGTTTCTGCTACTGGAACTTTCCGGCATCAGTCCTAGTATTTTCTAGGAAATTTTTTAAGCCGCATATGTTACAAGGTACTCCTCCAGATACATTACGGTTAGCAGCATAAGGCGACTGTATGGATTCTGAATTATTTGTCAAGGTATTGGAACATTTAAAAAAAAAACAATTTTTAAAAGTGAAACTGGAACAAACCATGAAGTGGAGATATCCAGGAGTGGCTAGTATACCTGTTGAATACAAAGCACGTGGTGTTCGTGTGTATTAAGGTATAAAAAAAGGCGCTTATTAAAAGCTTAAAATTTTTTATTATAAAGAAGATCTTTTCGGAATTGTATCATTCCATCATCAGTTTAATAAAAAAGGTTGTTAAAAAACATTGTGTGGCCACATAAAAAACATTCGATGGACATCTGGATTTAAAAAATAATAATCTTCATGTTATTTATTCAGGTAAATGCAATAGACTCTTGACTTG